TAATACTTAAGCTATCAGGATAGTTCATGTATTACTCATGTATAATAGTCATCTTCTAACTTCTAACTTCCACCTCTTTCTGTTTGCTCTACAGGAACAGAAGTAATTTGCTTTTGTGGAAGGAACGGGAATGACTGTTGGAGGATTGCATTACCTCAACCCCAGATTCTCATCCCTTTTTTGAACAGTTTTGTCTTCTTGAGCCATAGAACTGAATGGAGACCACTGAGCCAGCGTGAGCCTTGGGGCACATATTCACAACAGAACATGGCAGCAAGGTCAAACCCAAGGACCAAGATGATCAGCGATCAAGATTTGATTACCCTGAACTTTAGGGACTGAAATAGGGGGAAAAATAGAATTTGTTTCTCTGAAGATATAAGAGTGGGGTTCATCTGTCATACCAAGCTAAAATATGGTGGTCTTTACGGTTGGCTTAGTGCAATATATATGAATCCAGTCATTGTGATCTATAAACAAATATATATGGCTGGTGAAGAACAACAGGGGTGTCCACAGGGGGAAATCAATATGGCAGCCACAACCATGTGATGGCTTCAATTTCATGGCCATATTTACTTTTTTGACCGCTATGCAGATACCCCTGAGGAATCTTTTTCAGTTTGGGAGCTAAACCTTTGGCTTCTGGAAGCAACAGGTCATTGTCTGGTGACATCGTGGATGGACTGGAACATGCCATTCTTCCCTTGGCTCCAGTCTAGTCTGGGCAAATGTTCCCAGGACGGTTTGTATGTTTCCATTATTTTTTTGCAATTCTGTGCTTGAAAATGTTAGGTCTTCTTCAGCAGGGGAAGGATTTAAAGGTCAAAATTGAAACGTTACATAATGCATTATTTTTAGTAATGATTTATCATTATATAAATCATTATATAAGATTATATAAAGATTTACATATAATGATATATATTTATAATAATAAATAACAGCAGAAAACTGCACAGTGGAAAAACAGTGGCTACCCATGTTTGGTTATTTTATAAATATTTATAGCCCACCCATTATCCAGAGGATTTCATAGCATGTCTTAGTGTAAGGCCACTGTGGCTTATTCAACAAACCAGGGTTAAAACAAGCCAATTATAGTTTATCACAATGTATAACTTGATCCAATGACCAGATAAGTCAATTACATAAGCTTGAGTTGTGAAAAGACAATAAATATTAAGGTTGTTGAGAAAATATGAACTTCTAACAGGAAGGTCAAAGGTCTATGGATATGTCAATTGTTTCCATAACATATTCACATTCCAAGTACTGCCCATTTATTCTGCCCTGCCAAATCCAAATTAAAATATTGCCACTTGGCCATGGAGGAATGGCCCTGGAACTGAGGGTATAAGACATGATTAGAATGGCCCTATCTGAACTTAGTAATGGATGAGTTGGAAGCAAGTAAGAAATGGACTTCCCATGGCGTGAATAATATGGAGGAGGAGATGGAAAGTAAGAAGATGAAGCTTCTCCGGCAGGTGGCTTAAGATGCACATCTCTCAAGAATGAATTATACTGGAGAGGAACCTCCTTAAGCATTCAGAGTGGGAATGCAAGTGAGCTCCACGCATGCATCCTCCATCTATGAGTTGGAAGCAAATTTCTGCAGTCCAACAGCCTTCCATACAGGTGTCCCATACAGTGCTGACCTCTGGAAAAGCCTTCCTGCTGAAGATGTTTGCCCCAACTCATGGACACAATGTAGGTAAAGTCAAAAGGGGGCAGTGCTAGCAAATGACCTCCTTCTTACCATGAGTAATTTGAAGCCCCACAAAGAGAGTGAAAACTCCCCTAGGCATTGGGCAGGAGAAGACACAAAACTCCCTGAGACAATTGATGCCCCACATTTCCCTCTTTCAGCCACTGGGTATCCTCTTTTTCAAATCACACTCACATTGATGTGTTCTTTCCCACCATACTTGGCCCGGATCTGAGGGTTCTGGATGAGATCCAAGTTCGTCCCCCAAACCGTAACAGGTGTATTTCCACTGATGGACAAACAAGCAGAATAAAAAAAGACAAAATTAGCAGGAATCTTACAGCCCATCCTCACAGACGCTTCTCAGAGTGAAGCTAGCAACTTCAAATTCAGAGGGGAAATCTGTGTCTGCAAATGAAACAAAAGAAAAAGTGAAATCCTGGCCAGTGGTTCAAAATCAGTCAACTGTTAAGTCTCATCCACTGGTTTGCAGAAGTAGAGTTATCTCAACAGCTTCCAAATGGTGACGGTACTATTGATTTATTCATTCGTTTTCAATCTGACCTATGCGCATACAGAGCATTGAAAATAGACCAAATACGTTGACTGGTTTGGAGCAACTGGCCAGAAGAATTTCACTATTGCTTAGTTTCGCTTGCACACACAAACCTGATCATTAGGCAAGGTCTAGGAAAAGAGTCCAGCAGGTCAGCCAAGCTGGAGGAGAAGAAGCCAGGCCACTCAAGGCCAGCTGCCTGGAATTGAATCAGGAGGCCCAGAGGTAGGATGGGTTGGGAACTGGGGTGTGGGTGCAGTGCAGCACAACTGGCTAAGAAAGCTGGGGTGCAAATACTCAATACTCAGCTGTGAGTGGTTGTTTAGAGCACTGTTTCCCAACCTCAGCAACTTTAAGATGGGTGGACTTCAACTCCCAGAATTCCCCAGCCAGCAGGGACTTGAAGTCCACCCATGTTGAAGTTGCCGAAGCTGGAAAACACTGGTTTAGAGGAAACTTGGATTTTGATGACTTGATTGAATTTCTTGGGAAAGAATGGGGCAATGTGATAAAGTTAGCACATTACAAGGACAGTTGAAGGAAGCTGAAACCATGATAATAAAAGGATGCTCAGGGTTTGCTGAAGTCTGCAAAACTTTTAACTGATACAAAATAAATACGGCAATGAATTTGTTGAACACTGGAGACTTTACCAAATTGGAGAATTTAGTGCCATCCTGTCCCTGAAAAGCAATTGCTTTCTAACAAAAACTTTTTTTTTTTTTTTTTTTTCTAAAGCACATAAATAAAACATAAACTCGAATTTTTTCCACTATAATCACCAAAAACTGTCCCCTTAACAAATGAAAGCTCCTTTAGAGATTTTTTTTTTTTAATAAATGCATCCCCAAATCTGTTAAACTAGGGGGAATGAAGTTTTTTTTAGCTCTGAGATATAATTAGGAATGGAGGGATGTGTGAATTTCAATTTATCTCTGTTTCTCATTTTCTCCCCATCTTACCTTCATTCCATCCCATCTCTATATCATTTTGCACTATTTTTTAGAAGCCCCCCCCAATTCATCTGCATTTTTATGCACACTTTCCTAATTTATGCAGTTTTACAAGCTGTTTCTACTTACAGAATGCTCCTTGTATATTTTTACTAATATATGCAAGGGTTGGAATGTAACTGTTTTGCAGAATTTCACACCTCTGCTCAAAAACTCTCAAGATGCATTTTAAAATGTGTATTTTGAAATCGAATTGGATCAAACCTGCATATGCAAATCTTGAAGTATTTTTTAAATGCAAATTAATACAATAATGAGACAGAATACACCTGGGGATAAGCACCTGTAAAAATATCATGGACTGGGAGAGAAAAAAAATGACTTCCCCATTCATATTCCTTCCAAGGACAGGGTGAGTTTTTATTTCAGGTTCCAAATATGTGCAGGTATGTTGAAGTTGTTGTCACCAGCTGGTGTGAATACACTAACTAGGAATTAGCCAGTTTGATATAGTGGTTAAGGCAACAGGCTAGAAACCAGGAGGCTGTGAGTTCTAGTCCTGCCTTGGGCATGAAGCCAGCTGGGTGACCTTGAGCCAGTCCCTCTCTCTCAGCCCTAGGAGGAAGAGGAGGAGGAGGACAGGAGGAGGAAGAGGAGGAGAAGAGGAGGAAGAGGAAGACGACAATGGCAACCCACTTCTGAAAATGCTGCTTAGAAAACTGCAGGGAAATGTCCATGCATTGACAGCTAGTTTGGTCCAGTGGTGAAGGTCCTGGACTAGAAACCAGGCATCCATGAATTCTAGCCCTCCCTTAGGGACAAAGCCGGCTAGGTAATTTTGGGCCAGTCCCCCTCTCTCAGCCCTAGGAAGAAAAAGAAGACAAGGGCAAACCACTTCTGAAAATACTACCATGAAAACTGCAGAGAATTGACTCCTAGCAACTGCATGGACAACACTGAGGAGAAGGAGGAGGAGAAGGAGGAGGAGAAGGAGGAGAAGGAGGAGAAGGAGGAGAAGGAGAAGGAGAAACCCTAGTTAGAATCCTGAAGGGAATATATTTAGATCTTACATCTTGTCAATTGGACAGATACTACCAGAATGAATTTCAGATAGCGTCTGTTCTCACCCAGAAAAAGAAATCCATGGGAGGAATGATTGGCTTGTACATCAGAACCTTTCCAAGATGGTTGAGAAGTTCCTCTACATATCTTTAAATATTTACTCAACCTGATGTGCTTTATAAAGGTTTTAAAAAATGCAGATGTCTTCATGTGGTTCCACGGCCATAGGCATCAGATGTGATTGACATCACGGGCTACTTACACACTAGCATCAGATATCAAGACACACATATGTAAGGGCAGAGTTTGCTTTAGGATGTCACTGCACGCATCACCGTTTTCACAAAATCTTGGTTCGCCTATGTGCCTGGCCAGTCCAAGAAGCATTACATGATCACATGGCTCGTGCAGGAACCACCCAGAAACTAGTTTCTTCAAAGAACTTGTAGCTGCCGTAAAGCAACCCCCCTTCCCCAATTAAACACTGGGGGGAAAACAAGAAGATTTCTATTGGCCACACCTCAAAGTTTCTACAGTTAAATATGACTTAGAGATTTGCTGGACTGGAATCTTTTTCTTAAAAAATAAAATAAAATCCCTCCACCTTTATATCTCTATATAGATTTTTGTTTTAGGGGGTTTGACAACAACATAGAAGTGACTTCCCACATCCTTCTTCCAGAGTATATTTCTTCTTCCCAGACTGATCTACAGCTTTCAGATTTCTGGTGGTCTCCCATCTAAGTGCTGAGCATCTCCATACTTTGCCTTTGTGGGATCAGCCATGGGGCTGATCAGCAAGGGGCTGCCATATGCTTCCTAGAGGGCTTACTCTGGGCCACTAATTCTAACGAATGAAACTAATGTCATTGGGTGAAAGGGTTTCATCTGGAATTCATGATGATCTGGGATAAATAGGATAAATATGTTCCCCACAAGCTAGTAGCTATCTAGTTTCCTTCACCTCTCCCTTCCCGCCTTTCTTCCTTCCTTCAAATATCTGTAAACTACCCCTATTATGAGACTTGTCCCTGTAAAGGGCATATCCTCCCTCATGACATCATTACCTGACAATGCTCCATTCTGGCTCAATTCTCAAGATGGTTGGATCCTCCACATATTTAAACTTGAGCTCCTTGTGCATTTTAGCCTTCTCAAGTTCCTTGTGCAATGTGGCCTTGTCCACCTTCACAGATACATCCACCATGTTCTTCTCCAAGACATTACCAAAAGCTGTGGTATTGCAGATAATATATTCTGCAGTTCTCCTGTTAGGGAAATGAAAAAAGATAAATCAGGCTAGGCTTAGATAATGTCCACAGGAGGCCTTCAACCTTCAATGTTAATATTTTTGCTAATGGAAGCTTCTATTATAGAAGACTGGAAGAATTCTGAACTTCGAGAAGTCCTTCTTTTAAGCAACTGGGAGTTGAAATTCAATATTGTAATAATCTGTTATGAATCAAATGATATGGTTTGCTTTTTTCTGGGTAAAAACCTCCACACTTGCCAAACCGAGTTTCCTTTGAAGTTTAATAGCACTGTTTCTTTGCCAAATCACTACCAGCAGCTGAAATGGTTTTTCCCTGGGTAACGAAGGGTCAAAATGAACCTAACATAATTTTTTAAAGTGCACATTCCCCTTTTCTTTTGAAACAGAACCAGCCATGTGGAATGCTTACCTGGAACATGCATGAGTGATGAATGTGGGGCTTATTTTTCCCCAAAACATCTTCCTTACATTTGATTTGTCCCCAGACACACAATTGCATTTGATCTGGATGAGACCGTTTGGCTCTGTCTCAAATAGGTGCTTTATATGGGGGTGGACAATGTGATTCTCCTCGTTGAGGTGAGGAGATGACACTTTTGGTGAGGTCCTTCCGATGATTCAAAGCTTTGACAGCCAAATCCAATGTTTCCAGCAACTGTCTGTCTCTTCAGTGTTTCAATGAGTTTTCTGTACATGTAGTACAAGGAGCTAAAGTTCCTTTGGTCTATCAGCATTACCCCTCCCCTCAAAAGCAATGAAGTAGCATCTCTTGGATATTCAAAACAGGGCAGCAGAGTTACTTCATGAAGCATCATCAAGCTAATGCATGTAAAAGACCTACATTTGATGCAAGCAGGATCTCTGGGGGCTTTTAAGCCAGGGAGAATACAAACCAGGAACCTCAGTGGAACTGTCTGCAGGGTGCATGCATCAAAATCTGCACGGTGGCAGGTGTTGCAATGCCACGCTTGTCTTCTTGCGGATTTTGACAACTCCCTGTGGATGCCCCAGGCCTCAAGTGACTGCTTTCTACAAAGTGTCAATAAGTGTAGTTAACCCAGAGGATAGTTCATTAAGCCTCTCTGAGCATCTGCCATTATATTTTGCTTCTCTTCGTGGGTGACATCAATGCTTCACCCATTAGCACAGATATGGGTAGAAGAGCCATGCTCTCTACGGTAGCAAAAATCAGGAGTCTGGTAGCATTTTTTCCATGCCCACAGTGGCAATACAATGCGTTAGTTGGAAATGGCGCACCCAGACTCCTCCTGAATTTTGCTAGCATGGAATGGTAATTCAGATGACCAAGCTGTGCAGGCAAAAAGATGCCTACGAAGAGACACATTCTCCACCAGCTGCTTTGCAATTCTGGAGTTGCAGAATTGCTGTGTTTACGGCCTCCCCCTTTCCCCCAAGCAGCCAAAGTTGACTGAACCTTACCGGTGGAAAAGACAAGGGTATTCTCCAAACATTACAGAGACGTTACTTCCTGCATTCAGGTTTTTGCCCGTAATCGTGACTTGCGTACCACCCGATACTGGTCCTTGCTTTGGGCTGAGGTCAGAAAGAGAGAGCATCTGAAAAGAAAGGGAAAAAGGAAGATGATTTCAAGAGGAATTGAATGGAATAGCAACAAGCTGAAAGGGTGACAGTGGCTGGAGGAAAATATGACCAGAGGTTGCTTATTCAAGGGAGGCCAGTTCTGAGTTAGCATTGCTGGAAAGTGTTTTTAAATAAAACTAGAAAGTGCATTAGACGCTTGGCTAACAGAAGACATGTCCGTTCCTTCCCAGTGACTGTGTCCACACAACACACGTAACCAAATCCTATGGTTGCTGTTGTCCCATATGCAAGACTTGGTTCCTTTTAATTTTAATTAATCTTTTTCTCGCATAGTAGCTTAGGATGTTGGCTGAACCCAGCTCAGTGAGTTAGCTTTCAGCTGAACAGGTCACGTGAACCCAGAAAATGGGTTAATTCAGTAGCAGGTTACTCATAGTTCATGTAAATGAGCATTGTATAAAAGAAAGGAAGGAAGGAAGACACATAGACAGAGAGAGCTAGACCAGGCTAAATCCTGCTTTGCTGTTGAAATGATCTGAATGCTTGATAATAGATGGATGAATTTAGCCTGATTTCTCTCCCTCCCTCTCCCCCCCCCAAGACACACACAGAGACATGATTTTTCACTTTCATGATTCCAGCCCAAAAGCCATCTTGTGCTTCCACTGCAGAGAAAAAACTCGGAGAAACATGTCGTTCTAACCAAATAAATAAATAAAGAATCAAACCCTGCATTCTTCTCTTCCTCCCTGCCTTTCAGCCCATCAAGATAAAACCCATCTTATTTAAAAAGGAAACCTATCACCGTGATCCTGAAGAATGGCGAGATTTTCAGGGAGAAATCTGGAGTTGCCGGTTTCTCCTTTCATTAGCATTTTAATAGAAAAACTTTTCCGCTGGGTCCCACATGAAAAGCCGCCCCCTGCATTTGCAATGAAGGTTTCTCTACCCTCCCCACTTTCTCCTCACTTCTCTTCAACTACTTTTAAGAACGTTGGCTTAAAAGGTTGCAACTCTGATGAATGAGCGGGTAGAACGAGAAGCCGGATGCGCTCTTGAACCCACTAAACTGTTTTTTCAACTCCCCAGTCTTTCTACGCGTTTGCTCTCTTGCTTATCCTGCATCTCCCAGAGGTCTGGAGGTTCATTTTCCATCTCTACTTAAGCAGAACTTAAATAGAATTCAACCTCAGATCTGACAAGGAGCAAGGGTGGGCATTTTGCTGGTATGACACGCCATGGTGCGGGCCCAGAATGATGTCTAGCTGACATGGGAAACAGATGTGAGTTGTATTTCCTTCCCAAACTTTACAAGGTGATCCAGGAGTACACGTAAGTGTTCTTGGAAAAGTCTGTCACGTTCATAGAAGTTGCTAGTTTGGGAGTCCATCAATTTGGAAAATGGGCCTGTTCAAGTAACCTAATGAGACAGCCCTGTGTGAAAACAGTCAATGGCTATTAAAGTTGGGTTTGCATCATGAAAAAGATTACATAACATTATTGTGTTTGAGGCCGCAACATTTCAGGTCTTCATGGAAGCTGCTAAGATATCTAGTAAGTTACTATCTGAGAACAAATATTTGATATTGCTTTTCTTCTTCTCCCCCCCTTCCTTCCTTTTGCCTCTCGTCTTTTAGATTCTCAGCTCCGAACCCAGAACTATCTTTATTTCTGATCTTTGTACGCTTCCTCAGCCGTCTTTACTGGCAGGCACTCAGGTGAACAATCGCTATAAATAAAGTAAAATAAATAATACTCATTTCCTGTCCCGAGAGGGTCTATGAATTTCCAGAGGTGTTATAATCATAACACAAAAACTTATTATCATCTCATTTACAGGCGCGTGGTATGCTGCAGTAGTCTATTAATGATTCACAGCTGCCTTAACAAATTTTAGATGGTATTATTCACAGAGGGAGAGAGTGTGTGTGAAGGGGAATGAAGAATCAGATGTATAAACAATTTATGACTTTTTTTTTTATTCTTGGTTTCTTGCAACCTTGCTGGAGGAGGTCAGGATCTGAAGCGGTGACCAGAAGAATGGAAAACCTTTTCTCCCCAGCTGAACCGTGGGTTTTTTGGAATCTTCTCCCAACCCCACATCCTTAGATGTTGTAATCATCCCCACCCAGAAAAACCAGTGCTGGCAATCAAACTATGGTATCCAACTAGGTCCTTCAAAACAGACTTCCAGTGCAAATTAATGCTGATTTAAGATACGTGAAGCTCCTCCAGGTCTGGGGAAGTGACCTTGCTAGATGTCCCTCCTTTCTTTTCCCTGAGCCAAGGGAGGCATCTCTGCCATACATTTAAGTCCGTGGGGTTATGCTCGGAACAAGTGATAACACTGACGAGAGGCCCATCAGTCGTCTTTAGCTAAGGACAGTGCGTTAGGAACATACGAATGGCTTTGCTGGATGAGGCCAACACCACTGCAGTCCAGCGTTCTATTTCTCACAACCAGATGCCCCTGACATGCTCAACAGCTGGAGACAGGCCACTCTTCTATGGTTGTTCCCCTGCAACTAATACGTAGAGTTAACATTGGAGGCACCCAGGTGGGAGGTAACATGGAGCCTTCAAGACGCGAGCCCTTGATAATCCTATCCTCCTTAAGAGTATTCAATCTCCTTTCCCCTTTTCAAGACACCTGAGAATGTGTTCCTCACAACATCCTGCAGCAATGAGTTCCCCAGGTTATTAATGGACTGGGTGAAAAAGTGCTTGTACCCCTCCCCATTTCTTGCATCATCCTTGATTGGATAGGCACCTCCTACCTTCACTCCAAACGAAGGAGTCTCTCTAGCTGTGGCATTTGTGGGGGCACCCCTTGTGGCCACCAGTGAAACCAGGCTGGGTAGGGCTGGAAGATTCCCCGCCTCTTTGGGAACTCAGCCCATTTGGAGTTCGGGGTTGCAGTAGCACACTGCAGAAATTGGAGGGGAGATGTTGAGGGACAATCTCGTCTGGCTTCCAGAGAGACATCGATCGAGATGGCTGCAGCAGGTTTTGTTCTTCGCTTTACAAAGTGCTGCTTTTGAGGGCACGGATGGCCCCTTTCTCCCATATCAAAGGAGAGCTTTGGCAGACAGGGACAAAGAAATCCACCCTGGAATGCTAGAAGGGGGGAGATGTGGATGAAATTGTTGTTTGAGGCTCCTGGGTGGAGGGAGGGGAGGGGAGGGGAGGGGAGGGGAGGGGAGGGGAGGGGAGGGAAGGGAA